CCTATATCAAACTGTACTCCAGCAGCAGATTAAAGCAGGGAATGACATCATTACTAATTCAAGCATGTGGAGTCAAGTACACAGGGTGACCTACAGAAGATTTGTGAGACATAAACCAGGATGTGCTCAGAGTGGCAAACACGTCGTAGATTCTACTCCATCTGAGAAACCTATAACATGGTGGCAGTACACCCCATATTTCTCTAGCATGTTTGGCTCCGAAATGGTTGATCTTGAGAAATCAAGTCCAACTTATGACATCTTATTTCTTCTGAAAAGCTTGGAAGGCCTGAACAGGTTCAGTTTTCATCTCATGTCCCGTATGAAAATATACGCTTTTGCAGAAGGGAAGACCACCGATTTTGGTGATATAAAGTTCACAAATTCTGATCTCCCTCAGAATGAGTTTGCAAACACTAAATTAACAGAGAAACTAGAACTGCAAATGAGGAATCCTTTTTCTGTTTCCGTAGGTGGCATGCCACCTTGGTGTGGACAGTTGGTTAATTCATGCCCCTTTTTGTTTGGTTTCGAGGCAAGATGCAAGTATTTCCGCCTGGCTGCATTTGGTAAGCCGCCAATCCAGCCTGAACCGTCATCTCATAATACGGCAGGGGGTATGAGCGGTAGGCATCAAAACAATGGTGGCCTTCGCCGGAAAAAAATCTTAGTTCATCGAAATAGAATTTTGGATTCTGCAACACAGATGATGGACCTCCATGCCGATCAGAAGGTTGTCATTGAGGTGGAATATACTGATGAGGTCGGTACTGGTCTTGGACCGACCTTGGAATTTTTTACCTTGGTCAGTCATGAGTTCCAGAAGATTGGGCTAGGGATGTGGAGAGGTGATCGCATGGCTAGTGGAACCATGAGTGTAGAGGAGGAATCTGGAATGCTCTTCTCTTCTTTTGGTCTCTTCCCTCGCCCATGGTCCCCTTTATCCCATTCATCAAGTGGCCTAGAGTTCTCTGAAGTGCTGAAAAAGTTTGTGCTTCTGGGGCAGATAGTTGCAAAGGCTCTCCAAGATGGCAGGGTTTTGGATCTTCCTTTATCCAAAGCATTTTACAAACTTGTTCTTGGGAGGGTATGCTCCATTTTTAATAGGCCACTATGTTAGTTCTAGTTCTTGAGTTTTCCTTATGTTCTCTTCTTTTTGTAGGAACTCACGGTATATGACATCCAGTCATTTGACCCCGAACTTGGTGTGGCTCTCCTAGAATTTCAGGCTCTTATTGAAAGAAAAAGACATCTGGAATCTGAGGGAAAATCATCGTTAGACCTTGAACTTAATTTCCGGAATACGAAAATTGATGATCTTTGCCTTGACTATACTCTTCCTGGATATCCAGATTATGTCTTTAATTCTGCATCCGATGCAAAAATGGTTAGGCACTCTACAAGTTGATGCCTGATATTTTATGAGATTCTAACTGCCAATCATTGAAGTTGATGACTTGCTTTCTAGGTTGACATGTCTAATTTAGAGGAATATGTTTCACTCATTGTGGATGCTTCTTTAAATTCTGGGATATCAAGACAAATTGGAGCATTCAAGTCAGGCTTTGATCAGGTCAGTGTCAACCAAACGATCTTTAAGTATAATCTCTTGCTGTTATAGATCTGCAACTGTAGTTTGCATCAGGGGAAAATCAGTTGAATGATTTGTTAATTACTCTCTGGAAGTGGTAACACCAGAAATTTGTAATAATTTCCATGTATGTTTTCATCACATTTTAAGATTTGCTGGTCTTTTGAAGTATGTGTCATCCGGCACATGAACACTAGCAAGCCAGTTAAAGTATTTAGATATTAGCTTTCATTTAAGGGAACTATCCAGAAAATTATGTATTTTAAAGATTGTGCAATTTCATCTGCATTTGAATTACTATGACATTGTTTTTTTCTTCTTATTGAAATGGCAGCATTTTAGAGCTACTTCATCAAATTAAATGAGAAAATCAGTTACCCCACATATCTTATATTGCCATAAGATTTGGTTGGATCTGTTCTTATCAGTGTAATATCTGATATGTGGGTCATCAACCCACATGATATTAACTCAATTTATTAAGGGGGAGTGTCCATTAAGGTAGCTTGCTACTTGGGCTCTCGCGTCGCCCATGCATTGCACTACTGCACGGGCCTGGCGCACCCCTCCAAAACAAGAAAAGAACTCTAGAAGTAGTTCACATGTTACTCATTTTTTTCTTTAAAGTCTTCGCCCTCTCTATAGCAGTCCAATATCAGTCCTCTTAAGTGTTGTCGGTTCCTCAGGTTTTCCCCATCAAACATCTCCAAGTATTCACAGAGGATGAATTAGAGCGACTGTTGTGCGGAGAGTGTGGATTATGGAACGTAAGTTTTGCTTCCCGAGCAGCTATTGATATACCTTAAAAGCTCAATTTCCTGTTACATTTTCACTGATTATCATTCTTTTGTGCAGTCCAATGAGCTTCTGGATCACATCAAGTTTGACCATGGGTACACTGCTAGCAGTCCTCCAGTTGTAAATGTTTGTATCATTTCTTATCTTTTCAGATTTTATTCATGGAACCAATTGCTTCTTTTGACAATTGATCTCCTGGAAAATTGCAGTTACTCGAAATTATGAGGGAGTTTGACAGCAAACAACAGAGAGCATTCCTGCAGTTTGTGACTGGTGCACCTAGACTGCCCCCAGGGGGTCTGGCATCTCTAAGCCCAAAGTTAACAATTGTTCGGAAGGTCCGTACAATGTAGATTTCCTGAGTGCATAATATAGTCCAATTGACAAGAGAAAGATATCCGTCTTATATTATGTTACGTCCTGCTCTAATGTCAAGCTCTTTTGGTTTGTGGCAGACTTGCAGCGTTTGGGTTGATGCTGACCTGCCTAGTGTGATGACATGTGCCAATTATCTGAAGCTACCACCTTACTCTTCAAAAGTCGAGTCCTATCTCTTTCACTGCCTTGTGTGAGGTCTCTTTTGCTTATTATTATTTGGCAAACAAATAACTTTGTTTATTTTCTTTAAATTTTGCAGGAGAAGATGAAGGAAAAACTGTTATATGCCATAACTGAAGGACAGGGCTCATTCTACCTTTCGTAGGTTCCATGTCTTGGTCAATCAGGTACATTACTTGTGAATATATAGTTCAGAGTAGGTGGCGGCGGTGTAAATTCGTGACTTAGAAGAAGAATCGCGGCAGCCGGTGGTTGGTTGGTGGAGTTGAACAAGGAGGTGATTACTGCTGCTGCACTGACTAAACTTGGTGGTTGTGTAAATCAATGGTTAAGTAGTATAATAAAGTAGTTAGTCCAGTTCTTAAAGGTGAATTGTACAGTGAATAGTTCTTGGGAGGTTTTTTAAGCTTGGTTCAGTTAGTTTTTGGTACATATAAACTATGTACAGGAAACAGTTGCAGATTTATATTCCACTTAAGGTCAGTTTGATGGAAGATGAAAGCGAAATAGGTTAGTTTGCTCTCCTCTTATTTTGTTTCGTTTCGTTCTTTCCCGTTCTTGAGGGGTTACAGCATGATGGAAGTATATTTTGCAATGTATCTACTGAAATGAACTTGAACCAAATTGCCAGATTTTTGTTGGAACTGGTTGGACAAGAAAATTTACTTTGGTCTGATGGCCAAAACCACAACCAATAGAAGCTCCCCTCAACACTTCTTATGGAGGAAACTTTACTTGGTTCTGATACTAAACTTAGCTTTCTTTTTAGTAACCGTAATAAGTAGTATTGATTTAGAAAGGGAACCTTGGGGGTAATCGGCAAAGTTGCTTCCATGGGATCAAGAGGTTACGGGTTCGAGCCGCGTAAACAGCCTCTTGCAGAAATATAGAGCAAGACTGTGTACAGTAGACCCTTCCCCGCACCCTGCACATAGCAGAAGCTTAGTGCACTGGGCTGCTTTTTTTTTTTAATAGTATTGATTTGGTCATAAGAGGATGGATCTGAACTCTTTCATTACCATTAATTTTGTAGTGATTATGGCTAGAGGAAATGGAGGGTCAAAAATCTTCGTTTTGATTCCTCTTTCTTCAAGTGGACTCCCTCTATTTCCACCAAAACAATTCTGTGAAAACTATGGGCACTAAATAATAGAAACTTGACATATGCGATTGTTCAACAGTTTAATTTCTTTCAGGGGTTAGAGTTGTCTAATTTGTTACAAAATCGACCTTAGACCATAAGGCAGATGTTCTACCAAAAACATTCCTTCTACTTCTCCAGTAGTTTTTCAACATAATTAATTAATAATTTGATTAAATAAAATCATAAAGAAATATTTAATTAAAATGTATTTCACATTCCTTCCCAGTAGTTTTTCAACATAATCAGTTAAAATTTGATTAAGCGAATAAAATCATAAAGAAATATTTAATTAAAATATATCTCTTACTTTATATCACATCTCTATTCGATCCATGAAAATTTAAGTTGTTGTGGTTCCTAAACAGAGGCGGAGCTAGAGAAGCAGATACGTGTTTGAGCGAACCTAGTAGGTTTTACTTAGACCTTGCATTTGTATTAAAAAATGTACTAAATGTATAAATATTAATTGCGAATCCAGTAACTAAACGAGATATGAGTTCGATAATAATTTCAGAACCCATAAACTTTAAATACTGACTCCGCTTCTGTTCTTAAGAAACGTAAGATCAGAAAGAAATAGAAATGTATTTTCTCATATCCTGTGTGAACGGAGAATATATTGTGCATCGAGATATTTTTTTGCTTTTAAAAAAAAGTTTCAACAAAGTGTTGCTTCTTTGTTCATTTAGTCGAACTTATAGTCCGAACAAGTGTCATAATTTAGGCAAATTCAAGTTGAAAAAAAATATACTTTTTTTTAGAAAGTTGTGAAAAAAGAAATCAAGAAAGTACAAGAGCCACCCAATAAATGATTGCCAAAACAAGAGGAAGGAAATATCGTATGACGTATTTCATCCCTTCTCCACCCAAAAGCCCCTTTTAACCCCTCAAAAAATAAAAAATATCTCACACCACCTTATCACCATTCCCCCAATTTAAACACTGCTCCTTCCCTCTTTCTCCTCTTCTTCTTTCCCAAATGTTCAAGAATTCATGACAACTCTACTACCCCCCACCCCCCCTTCACCCTCCCCCACTTCACCATCTTCTCCATTTCCTTTCTCCCACAAAAATCTTTCTTTCCACTTTACTTGTAAAGCTACAAGTTCATTTCAACCACAACCAACTTCAAATTCCTCAAACCCAACTTCCTTAATACCTTCCAAGAACTCATTTTTATCTTCTCCTGATAATACCCTTTTGACCCTTTTACAGCAGAGGAAAACTGATGAAGCTTGGTTATACTACACCAAGAATCTTGATCAACAACAACTCCCTAACCCCACTTGCCTTAGCCGTTTAGTTTCTCAATTATCTTATCAAAATTCCACTGTCAGTCTCCGCCGTGCTCAGTCCATTATCCAACGCCTCCGCCACGAGCGGCAGCTCCACCGTCTTGATGCTAATTCCCTTGGTCTACTTGCTAGTGCTGCAGCTAAAGGTGGACATGTTCTTTATGCATCTTCTATTATTAAGTCTATGTTAAAATCAGGTTATCTTCCACATGTTAAAGCTTGGAGTTCTGTTATTAGTAAACTTGCTTCTTTAGGTGATGATAGTCCAATGGAAGCTATAAAGATTTTTAGTGCTGTTACTAAAAGGGTTAGAAGGTTTTCTGATCCTGCTGTTGTTAAGTTGTCGAAGCCGGATACAGCTGCGTATAATGCTGTGTTAAACGCTTGTGCTAATATTGGTGATAAAAATAGGTTCTTGGAGTTATTTGATGAGATGAGTGAGTTTGATTGTGAGCCTGATGTTTTGACTTACAATGTGATGATTAAGCTTTGTGCAAGAGCTGATAGGAAGGATTTGCTTGTTTTTGTGTTGGAAAGAATACTTGAGAAGGGAATTCCGTTGTGTATGTCAACGTTTCAGTCCCTTGTTGCTGCTTATGTTGGTTTTGGTGATTTGGTGACTGCTGAAAAAGTTGTTCAGGCAATGAGGGAAGGGAGGAGGGATCTTTGCAAGATTCTAAGAGAGGCCAATGAGGAAAAGCTGTGTTTGAGTGACACGGATGTGTTTGAAAAGTTGCTTCCGAATTCTGTTAGTTCAAGAGATAATGAGCCACCTGAGTTGTCTCGAGTATTTGAACCAAATTCTAGGATGTATACGACTTTAATGAAAGGTTATATGAACGCAGGCCGTGTTACGGATATGGTGAGGATGCTCGAGGCTATGAGGCATTTAGGCGATAGTGAGAGCCACCCGGATCATGTCACTTACACAACGGTTATTACTGCGTTTGTGAAGCAAGGTTTAATGGATAGGGCACGGGAGGTGCTCGCCGAGATGGCCAGAATTGGCGTACCTGCTAATAGAGTCACTTATAATGTTCTAATCAAGGGATATTGCCAGCAACTGCAGATTGACAAGGCTGAAGAGCTGATTAAGGAGATGTTTGATACTGGAATAGAGCCTGATGTGGTTTCCTATAACACAATTATTGATGGATGTATATTGGTCGACGACAGTGCAGGAGCTCTTTCTTACTTCAATGAGATGCGAGCGAGTGGTATTGCTCCGACCAAAGTAAGTTACACCACTTTGATGAAAGCTTTTGCCTCGTCTGGTCAGGCGAAGCTAGCTAACAAGGTATTTGACGAGATGCTTAAAGACCCTCGAGTTAAGGTTGATTTGGTCGCTTGGAACATGTTGGTTGATGTATACTCTAAGCTTGGAAAGGTTGAGGAAGCAAAGAGTGTGATTGAGAGGATGAAAGAAAATGGAATCTACCCAAATGTGGCTACTTATGGGAGTCTTGCAAATGGAATTGCTTTGGCTAGAAAGCCGGGAGAAGCGCTTTTGCTTTGGAATGAGATAAGGCAGAGGTGCGGGATGGGAACAGGAGAGGAGTCTAATCCTTCTTCAGGTCTTCCACCATTGGAACCTGATGAAGGATTGTTGGATACTTTGGCAGACATATGTGTTAGGGCGGCTTTCTTCAAGAAAGCTTTGGAGATTGTTGCTTGCATGGAGCAACATGGGATACCACCAAATAAGACTAAGTTTACTAGGATCTACGTTGAGATGCACTCGAGGATGTTTACCAGCAAGCATGCATCGCAAGCTAGACAGGACAGGAGAAAGGAGCGAAAACGAGCAGCTGAGGCATTCAAGTTCTGGTTGGGATTGCCCAACTCTTATTATGGAAGTGAGTGGCGCCTTGATTCAGTAATTGACGAAGAATATGCATCTGAGTAATTGAAGGTGAAATGGATCAGGTTATAGAACATAGATATTATACTTGAATATAGATTTGAAAGTTTGTTATGTTTATACATTTGAATAATCTGATATAGCTTTCTACTCAATTCTAGTATAGTTGGACATAGGGGTGTTCATGGTTCGGTTTGGATCGGTTTTTTCCTAAAAAGAAACCAAACCAAGTAAGTCGGTTTTTCAAATATTAGAACCAAACCAAACCAATTAAGTCGGTTTTTTTCTCGATTCGGTTTATGTCGGGTTTTGTCGGTTTTTCGGTTTATTCTTAAATATAAGACATACACTACCAAACACATATTCCAGCGACCACATTTTCAACGTCACACTATCAAATCAATTGCCCTTTGAGAAATCTATTATTTTTCCAAGATATATTGATGATAATTGAATCAAATGATGAATAATTTAAGGACTCAATTAAAAATATATTATTTTTAACACGAAATGGATTCTTACACTTAACAAAAGAAAACTACCAATCAAACTAGAATGTAAAGGTAAAGAACTATACTAAAAGTGCAAACTATTAACATTTACCATAAAATTTTTGAAACTTTGTTTAAAAATATACATATATATTGGTTTAATAATAAACTTGAAATAGCTACTCCTATAGTCGGTTTGGTTCGGGTTTTTTTCGATTTTTTCCTGATTAAAACCAAAACCAAACCAAATTTGATCGGTTTTTAAAATTCAAAACCAAAACCAAACCAAACCAAAAAGTATCGGTTTTTTTGATCGGTTTAGTTTGGTTTTCGGATTGGTTCGGTTTTTCGGATTTTTATGAACACCCCTAGTTGGACAGCAGGACTTCAATGTAACGAAGCCCTGATTTAACCACACTGTATTCCATCTTTGATAAAGAGCAATTATACCTTTATGTCCTCAACTTGTTTGGGACTTAGGCATAGTAGTAGTAGTTGTTGTAATTATACTTTTATGTGCTACCAAACTTTGTGAGGTGTATACAATTACAAGATTTTCAATGCCTCCATCCTTAACTAAAGGTCTCAGGTTCGAGACCAGGGAATCGAAAAGATCCTAGTAGAGCACTTACCCTTTAATGAATCTTGCGCTGCGTGAATCCAGATTAGTTGGGGCCCAAAAGAAGTATCTGACACCACCAGGTAGGAAACCAAAAAAAACGAAAGGAAGTTCTGCCACTCGAGTTTAACTTTGCGTCATATGGTTCTTGTTTCATTTAGCATAATTATGATTCTTGTTTCATTTAGCATAATTATGATTCTTGTTTTGGCTTCTGCTGCACGTAGAGACTCACTTAGCTCCCCCTTAACAGAAGACCAGCATAATACGAATATCCCAAAAGAAGCAAGTGCACACTAAACCCAAAAAAAAAAGGATAAAAACATTTTTTCTAAATGCATGATAAGAAGAAAAAGAAGAAAACTTCAAATCCTACATATACAAAATATATAATTAGAGCTTAAAGTATAAGAAAATTTCCAGTCATACACAATTTTTGGCCGAATATATAGGCAACATTTGTTGTTGGTTTGCCTTCAAATGTTGGAGTTTCTGTTGTATGATAATCTATCAAATACAAAAGAACAAAATTAATCCAAACCCATCAGTAATAGCAATATCATAATTCAATATAATTATACATCCTAATTTAAAGACAAAAACTAAATAGCAAAAAGCTCTAAGAAAGATTCTTCACTACCAGACAAACTGAAAGGAAGAAATAAATGGGCAGACATATGGAATTTCAAAATGATTAAAATTGGGAGACGTTTAGGCTTTGATAGAAAAAAAATGTATGAGGCTTTTGAAGTTCCACCACAAAGAAACGGTTTTTTATTTATGAGGCTTTTCAGTTTTGAATAGGTAGTAACGGTTGTTTTACTTGATAATAATAAGTGGAAAAAAAGGCAAAAAATCCAGATAAAATATAAATATGAATGTTGAGAAATGATATTTGTTTTTTTCACTTTTAGCCTGCACCAGAAACTATTTATATTCGGTAGCCGAAAAAATACATAAAATTTAGAAAGAATTACAGTCCATGTCACTTGGCCTAACAGCCCAACCGAAAATGGCCCACATTTGAAGCTCTTACCATATTTAGCTCATGTTGTACATAACTTGAAAGAAACTTTTCAGCCTTTAGCCCACTATTAAAGACATACTTTTAGGGTTTTTATTATTTTCTTCTTTCTTCATTCCCTTCTCTCTCACCGCCTCTCAATTCTTTCTTTCTAACCCACATAGATCCCTCATCCTCTCTTAACCTAGCCCCCGTTATTCCCCCTCCTCTACCCCCCACGCAGTTCTGCCATTAATGGCTCAAAGAAGGCTCGGGCTCCTACCCCGTCGTCCATGGTGGCAAGCAGAAGAATATTGAAGATTTTTGAAAGAAACATGAAAATAAACACAGATCTGAAAATAAATAGCTCTCAAACTGGATTTGCACCAAAAAATAACCACTAGTGTTGGAAGATTTTGAAGTTTGAAGTTCTGGTCATTACTATTATGACCTTGAAGTCTCGAATCTGAAATTGGGTTTGGATAAAAATCATAACTATGTAGCAGTTTGTATCAACACTGTATACTAGTGTATAATTGTGTATATGGATATACAAACACCTCTTATACACTATTATACATGTTTATACAAGTTATACAGTATTGTATAATTATGTATAAATGTGTATATTTGTGTATAATATTGTATAATTATATATTTTTTCAGTTTATAAGGATGTATATACATTGTTAGTGTGTAAGAGGCCTCTACAGAAGTTTGACAATTCCTTCTCTTCTTCTTTTTCGTGTAATGTGTTGTATGAGCATTGGAGTGATTCTACAATTTATTTACCAAGTTTTTATTTTTCTTTTATCCTGTTGGATTGCTTCAGCAATTGCACATAAAAAATTAACAGAATGAAAACAACTGGTTGTATACCGAGGGAGCAAAATAAGCTGTCTTTCAGGAATTAGCCTATTATTTTTTGGGTTATAGATTTGCAAAGTAGTATCTAAGCTATTATGTTGCAAGTCAGGTGTGTGAGTTGTATTTATGTGAAATTATCCCTAAAATTTATATAATTTTTTTATAGAACATACAGAATGTATTTATACAAAAAAAAATATACATTTTTCAGCTATTATTTTGAGAGCAGCTATACAATATCATTTCCCCAAACAAATTGTTCATCAATTTTACTCGCTCAATTCATGCTGAAATATTAAAAACTAGGTTTGTAACATAGCAATAACATTAAACGGGATGCTATCAAGGGCGCCTGCTAATATGTGTTAATTTCTTCAGAATCACCTGAAGGTCGCATAGCTAGAACTATTCACATGAAAAGAACAAATTAACACATTAAGAAGCAAAAAAGGCATGACGCTTTTTCCATAAACTAGTGTAAATAATTACGTACAACTTCTGGAAAAGAAACAAGAAGACATGATTTCAGTTGTCCCCTTTGTGTTAGTGTTATTCGACTATCTTCTTGACCTTGATGTTTGTGAATAAGATGATGATACCACCTGCATGAAGATGATTTAAGATGTCAATTCAAGGGTATTTACCATTCAAATTTTTGCACAATAGGTGGGAACCCAAAATTTTGATACAAAAAGTGATGTTTTCATTAGTAAGTATGAGATACTGATAACTAAGAAGCAAAGTTTCGAACTTTCAATGATCGGTTGGGGGATAAACATACTGAAAAACTATTGTTCTGGTATTCAAATTTCCTGCCTCCTTTTGAGTTTCAAACTGAGGCAATGCTTGGTAAAGAGCAAATTGTGCTTTTGGTACTCAGTCTACTACACCCTGTTTTTTGTTCTACTTTTAAACTCTTTACATGATAGCCTGACTTTAAAATAACGTGCAACAAAAAGACCTCGTAACGTGTTATCTTTTCAATGGAAAAATCATGTGTCTTGTAAATGATTCAGTTATATCATTTATTAATTATTTTTAGGTGAAATAAAACCCATCAATTGGCTCCAAAGTCTACCCTTACCTCAATGGTGCATACAAAATTAAGTCCTCCGAGTATTGAAGTAAAAGAATAACCATGTTCTGTTTTAGAAATACTTGATTTTTTTAATATAAAATGAAATAAAACAACTAAGTTTTTAACATTATATCAAAACAAAACACGAACCTAGCTACTTAATAGTTAACACACCTCCTGTGAACTAATTTATTGCCTTTATTTCATTTTATAGGAAGTCAACAAATAAATAAATAAATTTTATCTTAACTATTTTTAAAACAAAAGAAGACTAACATTATTTTAAGGTTATATTATAATGTACAAGTATGATTGAAGAAAAAAGAAAAAAGTATCAACCTTATAAACTAGGTTCCCGATGCGCTTTTGGCTATCTCGTAAAATATAAAAGCCAGACATTACGATACCTGATATGTCTTGTTACCCTTCTTTAGTAAATGACCAACAGTATTTAGATTATCCACAAGTGTGTCAATATCTGGAACGTTTAGTGCAATCCGATCTGCCAGACTATATATTTCCTGAAAAATAAATGCTCGTATCAGGCTTTTTCCAATTCTTGACTTGTACTTTTGCCAGAAAATATACAATGACGAAATGATGGCTTACTGAAATTGAAAAGCAATCCTTTTGCTGTGATTCTGACTGCTTATGCAATTCACTCAAAAACCGCTTTGCTTCTTTCTGTTGACTCATTCCCCCACTCCGTCCAAAATCCACAAAACCATGCTCGTCAACATACTTATCATACAATGATTCATTCATTATTTCCACAACATCCTGAAAATTGATCAGACCTGAATTAAGGGCCTCCGATAGAGCAATTTGATGATCAAGATTATAGTAAGTCTGGGATGACTTCAACAAAATGATTGTAAATAGCAAAATATTGTCTAGAAACTGTATGGAATGAGCAACTACGAAGACAATAATTTACCAGAGCATCTTGCTCAGTTATCTCTTCTCTTAGATCCACTCTAGCTCGAGCTTGTGCCAACCTTACTAAGCTTTCTAATTGCCTTGCTGTTATTGGTGTACCATCAGCAGACGTATTATGATCCCTCAACTTCAAGTAAAACTTCTGCAAGATTTCTGCTGCTGGTTTTGTCATCCTTGAACCAAATGACAAGTAGATAAATAAACATTTGAAAAAGTAGATAAAACTTTGAAAACTAAAGAAAGCAGATTCAACAACCTAGGAAATATATAAGTTCTTGCATAAGCAATGTATTTACGCAGAAGGGGGCCAGGCAATGGAACAAAATCGCTGTCTTTCTTAGGGTCAAGTTTCAGTTTTGCAACTAAAGAACCCTGCTTTGCATTCATGTCAATTTCTCTAACATCCAGCAACGCTGCATAAAACAAAACAAATAAATAAGAGCAATTTGTATAAAAGTATCTCGTGCTGAGATAGTGGTTGGTAAATGGCAAACCTGTACATAACCGTTTCGTGCTTGGTGGCTGCTCTACACTTTTTGCATGAAGCTGACAAGGAAAAGCTTTAGCTCATACCTTTTTCACATGAATAACACTAATGATAACCATATAACTGCATCGACTCATAAAATTTCAATCAATTGTATTGCACAACATGTGTGATGGTAAAAGGACATTTTCCTCGAAAAAACTCAAGAAGACAATGAAAAAAACAGCAGGCCAAGTGACAGGATCCTAATCTTATGACAAACAAATCAAGGATATCATCAAAGAGTTATCTGCCATCAAGCCCCCTCCCCATCTTTAGCTTGCCTGCCGTCACTTGAACTGTTAACATGCTAAATGGCTTATATAGAACTCCAACATTGCTATCTCAGTGATTTCAGAAAGAGTTCGAACCAGTTAGACAACACATATAGCACACCACCTCTTTGCCCCTGATGACTAATAAAATATAGAGTGCTCCTGTCCCTCTAATCTCAGGTTCATTTTTAACCAGAAAATGTCAAGTGTTGATAGGTTGCATTTATTCATAGTTTCACTATCAAGCTGAAGACAATGCAAGATAATTTTCCATTGCATCAAAAGCTCCAACTACGTAATGCACTATGAGTGAATTTAGATAGTGTTTCATATTGGTCAAGTAGAATATTTAAAAGAAAGTGATTACTGCAACTGCAACTGCAACAAGAATTGTCTCCATATAGGAAAAAAAAAAAAGATGCAAGGCAATGATTTGACAGTTAGAGATTTCTTGCAAAAAGTTAAACGATTTTCAATTTGAATAAAAATTTGCAGAAAGGAGTGAGGACACTTACTGACATAATGTGCTCAGAGAGTCGCTTGTCCAGCACTTCATCAGGTTTATCAAGTAATATGAAAACCAAATCAAATCGTGAAAGCAAAGCACCACTCATCTTCAAGTTCTCGTTCACAGTTTTCGCACGGCTGCAAGAAATAATTTTACACGTTATTACCATGGATTAATAGATTTTAAAATACCAAGATGATAATGCAAGTATTCTTATGAATCTAAGTTTTCATTATTATATGAGATCAATTCTTCTCCTTTCTTCTTTCTCCCCCTTTTTGTTCATCTTTCTTCAACGTGTCACCCTTCAACCACCAGCCCATCCCACAGCTCCTTTTGCCATCTCCCTCTCCCCCCCTGCCCTCCGCACCTCAAGTCCTATTTTATCAGCATAGTTCAACTTCTCCTCAATAATTTCTCTCACACTTGGTTGTACCTTCCCGCCTTCTTCCTCCTCTTCGTTTTCTTCTTCCCCCTCCTATTACCATGCCAGCTGGCAGCCACCTTCCTCTTCTTCTCCTCCTTTTCTCCTTACCTAGCTTCCATTCTTCTTCATTACTCTTCTCTTTTCTCCCTTCATCTCGTCCATACAATCCGTAGTCCTAGTCCTGCCCCTGCTCAATTCTATTGCTTTGTTTTCTATCCTCCGCTGCTGTACATCAAGCTGCCAATTATGCCACTGCTCTTTTTGCTTTGTGTTCTATCTCCTGTGTTGTACATCACGCCACCAATTATGCCACTTCTGTTTTCATTTCCTCCGCGATTGTTACATTAAACTGCTAATTTACACTCCTGCCACTAAGCACATCTTGATCACGTGGAATTTGAAAGGATAAACAGATAATAGATCAATAGGGCAAAAATAAGCATTAGGCAAAGCAACTAAACAAATAAGCAAAATTATGAAGAGCTTTTGTGCATCTTAGCCCAATAATGATCTAAGGACATCAACTTTTGGACTTCACATAACAGCTGGGACATTTCTGTAAAGTTATGTTACAGTAACCATCGGTGTCCAATTCCCTTCATGACCTTGAGGAAGATGTGGAGATCCAAAAGTCCACAGTAATGTAGCTTGCTTTTGTTGCGTGCTAGGAGATGATGCATGTCTTATTCAGATATATTTGCAAAAAAGAGAAATGATGATCTTTCTGTAAATGCTTTATGTGTAAAAAGGAGGTGGAGGACAGTAGTCATCTCTTTCTGTGTTGTTCTTTAGCTAGGGAACTTTGGAACTTGTCTTTTAACAATTAACATTATTGGGCTAGAATGGGTGATGCCACTGTCTGTTAAGGAGCTCTCTAGCAGCTGGATGAGCTGCAAAAGAACAATTCCAGCATGTGTCTGCTAGGTCTATGGAAAGAAAGGAACCAGAGATGCTATGAGGGCGAAATTACTACTTATCTTAAAGTGAAGTGTTTATGTTTGGTAGCTCTCTGGTCTAATCTAAGAAATGTATATAAGGAGGATAGCATGACCACTTGTATGTTGGATATCCCCTCTTTTTGTAATGTCCAGCATTATCATCGTGCTTCACTGCTTTGTCAATAATTCTTTGCTTACATAACCCAATAAGTGATCTAAAGGCATCAAGTATCACTAAACCACTCATCCATAATATTCAAATGATTAACATGAGTGAGTTTTTCAAAATACTTGTAGTGGCCACCGACAGGGTTCGCTGCTGCTAAAACAGATGTTCGTGCTGGCAAACTTGCAACAAGTCCCGCCTTTGCAACAGAGACGCACTGTTGTTCCATAGCCTCTAATAGGGCCTATAGTCATGATAAAATAATTAGGCCCTGATATTAAGTGTGAAATACCAATTGATAGTATAATTCATTTAATAAGAAAGACCTGATGTTCTGCAGACATTTTGTCAAACTCGTCAATGCAACATAATCCACGATCTGCAAGAACCATAGCACCTAACCATGCCAAAAAGCAATGCAGGACAGTATAATTAAGCATTTTGGGACCCAGATGACTACCATAAGCAATGATTAAAGGCATAACTTCTCTTCCACTTAAAAAGAAGAAAAGAAAAAGGGGGGAAAGGAAATATAGAGGAATCTTTATGTCTTTTACAATGAGAAACACAGGATACAACAGTACTTGGACAGGAATTACAACACTCATTCCTCAAAACTCAAAAGTGACGATGCAGTGCTCCATATAGCTACTTGAATATAACTCTTTGCCGCTATTGATAATTTGATATGATGATCTGAAAACAATCTGCCAGTTCCATGCTAATATTGGTTTTTGACTATTTTATTCCTTGTCAAGCTTCAATTCCATGGTCAGTTTACCTCAGGAGTATGTCAAGCCAAGAAATATCGCAGCAATGGTTGGTTGTCTGAAAATGCATGTCTTATGACCTATGTGCTAGAAAGTCTTTCATTTCAAAGTCTTGACTGACTTACATCTTCTGGAGCTAGAAGAAGATCAAGCTGAACATGTGCAACGTATAATAATGTTGCAGCTAATGGGCAGAAGATCTTGTCTATTGGGCTATTGGCAGAAAATTGGAAGGGTGAATGAAGCTCTCTCTTTACGGGGAGGAAAGACCAAAACTTTCAGAGAGAACATAGGCTACCAAACCTAGGTTGGGATCACTGCTTTTGCTGAAAAATACACAAAAAAATGGCAATGAGACACTTGCTCTTGTTTGGGTTCCGCCTCATAAGAATCTTTTCTGAATTTCTCTTTCAGGTTCAGATACATGCTCCTCTAACACAGTTAAACTCTAGTACCAGATTTATCCCAGTGATTCACTTACGTGTCTTTTTTTTTAATTGGTTGCCTAGGTGCTTAACTTGTGAATCTTGGGTGATTAATTATACAAAATGGGTTCATTTACCATGTTTATTTCTTATTCAGATCTTTTCATCCAAGCACCCTATTTTCAGTCTCTATGATTCATTGACTGATATAACCTTCACGTTTTTACAAAATCTCAGCCGCCAGTCAGAAAGGGCCTTGACCTTTGTGAAGTCGCCAAAATGCCTGTCAACATACTTGTCCTCACAGTCTCACAATTGCAAGCCCTAGAAATTTTAATTACCAAGCATTGCTCCGTAGCAAATTCATTTGTTTCCTCGAACCATTCCTAACACTAAAAGCCAAAGAGCAACAGGATGGTTAGATGAGGCAACATCAAAGAAGCAAATATAAAAGCCTTTTCTCAAGAGCAGAAAGAAAGCCTTATACTGAGCAAAGTATTCATCAGTTGCATCTACAAGTATGCAGAACTCAGAGTAACAAATCTGAACTCTCCGGGAAAAATTGTTTGTCAAACAGTTTTCCCATGACGAACTGATGCCTTGACAGGCTAATAATGAGATAACTGACAGTCAGTTTTATCTTCTTCGCTAGAACATATATATCAACTGGACGACCAAAAGCAGAAGCTTCCATGTGCTCAAGCAAATTTCTCCCAATTGGGGAACCTCTTTGTAGACTCAATGCTATAAAGAATCACCATCCTCTGTGGTGGTGTTCTATTGTCACATAACTTATCAATGATGAGTCAGCAGTACTAGCAAAGTCACTAATCATATGAGCAACCAATGATGAGTTAACAATATCGGCAGACTCACAAACTTCTAATTGTGAGCATCCCTTTTTGACCTCTATGATTCTGGTTGAGGCTGCAAGGCCCCGCACTGATGTGCTTCACGACTGTGATAACACTTGCTGTATGAAAATTGATATATATATTGATATTTTCCGGTCACCAGAAATGTTTTAATTAAATGTGAGAACCGCCTTGTCTAGAAGTTAAAATACTAGAATGGGGTCACATTTATTTAGTTATTTTAGGTTTACAACACGATGGTTCACATGCGGTCCTGGTTCTTTTTTATAGACCAATACCCACTCATTACATACAGAATTATGGAAACTGCCTTATTTAAAGCTTAAACTATTAGAGATCAGACAAATTTCTTTTTATGTTTTAGGTCAACAGTCTTAGCTGTCCCTTCACTTGATATTACATTTAAATATCATTCCTATAGCTCCGGAAGATATATTGGCTCTTAACATTAATCCAGCAGGATGTTTAATATGCTTACCTGTTATAAGCTGGAGCTAGAACCAAAATTCGCATAAACTCGCGCACTAAATTTTTTTTATGAGGTAAGATTTTATTGATATACCGTACTAAGATAGCACTGTTGGGGAATTACAAGAAGCTGGACTTGTTTTACATTACAGACTCATCACATTCAACTAGTCCAACTTTTCCTCTTCAGATTGAGAAGGGAAGTAGGTTTCTTTGTTGGATTTTGAAGCTAGACAAATGAGTATATAACATCAAAAGGCAAAGAAAAAAAACATTTCTATAAAACAATACAGATTATAAATTTCTAAAAGAATATAAGCTAGACAAATTTATAGGTAATTCATGATTTTTCCTCTATCTGGAAGGTGAGAAAGGACAGTACCAACCATACAAACTAGGAACCATTATAATAGCACCTGTTTTATTACAAGGAACTATAATAAGTTCAAATCATTTTTACAAGACACACCCTCCCTCAAAAATAAACAAATTAATAAGAATTCTCATATAACTATGATACACCAAATGTTCATTTTAGTTCCTCTATGTGTTCAATATTGCTTTAATTATAACTTTCCGCATAAAGATCCAATAGGATGGTGAATTCTAAATTGCATCCCACGCAAAAAGAAAAAGAAACTATTACCTGCTTCAAACGCATAGTCACCGGTCAAAGGATCCTTGACAACAGCAACAGTAAGGCCAGCATTGGTTGTTGCATTACCACAAATGTATAGGCCACGAGGAGAAATGGAAGCTGCCGCTTGAAGTAGTTGACTTTTACCCAATCCAGGATCACCTAAATTGCTTTCCAGAAGAAAAAAAATCGATAACTGCTTTCCAAAATTTATTTCCACAAGGACCAAAGAAGTCAAACTATTCTGTCACATACCGACAATTATTATGTGGATATCTCCTCTCACGGGAACCTTATTCTGATCCATTGAATGCTTCCTCACACCCCCAAATAAAGCTAATGTAATTCCCGCTATATAGGAAAAAAAGAGAACAAGTAAAAGAGTAAAGAGGATCAAGCCATCTATAAACCAACAGAATGACCACTTGAAACAGTTCATGGGAACAAAACAAATTCCTCAAAACACAATGTAAGCAAAACAAGAGAGGAATGCGATCATGTTTCAAGTGTATGAATGTCCTTTTTCCATGACTCAAATACCCGTAGTTACAATAAGCAAACGCAAGGTAAAGTAATGCAAGAGTTTTTCACGGCACAAAAGCAAGCAAGCCAAACACTTAGGAAGTAGGACAAGTGATAACAATCTCGTCCATATTACTTCAGGCAAAGAGATTATTTCAGTGTTTTTCTTCTGGTTATGAGGAGAAAGATGAAGAAAATCTAAGTAGTAAATGGAAGATACCTGTGTTTCACCTTTGATATATTTATACCTAACGAATCCAATAAAAAGACGCTCTTTCATTCAAAGTATTTCCAAGAGAAGTGGCAGGATAGACAGTTGACAGCTCAAGAAATCAAGTCCCTACTTCATGTAGAGCACACCAAAGCCAAAAAAGGGGAAACAGAAACGATGACAATGACAACAACTACAAAGAAATTAAAGGGCACAAAAGTTGGGTATCGTCCCATGCCTAACCAGAGAACAAGTCTGAAGGAAAGACCGTCAAATATAATCATATAATTGCTCCATTGTATTGAAAAAACTAATGTTATATGATTGATGGTGGCTGGCCAAGCAGGCCCCCTGTCTTCTCAACCATTAGTATACTCAATAAATATATTACAAATTGATTCATCAATATAAAGCTTTTCTTTACGTATACCCAAAAACAGAAAGACGCTCTTGGAGGGTAAACCTTGATATGAAGTACCATAAGGACTGCCAAAAATTGTGAACACTCTTGTTTAAAGATGAAAAATTGCACGAGATGCATTGGACTAGTCAATCATCCTGGATCATACTTCCTATTTATGGAAGAGAGATCCCAGGATACCATCAAAATTTGAACAAAATTCTTGTTATGTGTCTATGACTGCTTGGAGAAGTTTGGAGGCTAAAGTTGTGCTTGTAGCCTACGTTAGGGTGATTAAAGACAGGTATGATGACACTAAGACTCTAGTAAGGACAGTGGGAGGAGACCCAGAACACTTCCCGGTTGTGATGGGGTTGTACCAAGGATCAGCCCGTTTTATTTTCCTAGGCGATTGACGCACTGACACGATACATTCAAGGGGAGGTGTTGTGGTGTATGTTATTTGCACTGCAGATGACTTAGTTCTGATTGAAGAGACGTGAGGTGGTGTTAACAAGAGGCCGGAGGTTTGGCGACAGACTCTAGAGTTTAAAGGTTTCAAGTTGAGCAGGACCAAGACAGAATACTTGGAGTGCAAGTTCAACGACGTAACCTAGGAAGCGGACATGGATGTGAGGTTTGGTACTCGAGTCATCCCCAAGAAAGGTAGTTTCAAGTACCTTGGGTTAGTAATACAAGGAAATGGGGAGATTGATGAGGATATCACACACCGTACTTAGAGCAGGGTGGATGAAACGGAGGCTCGCTTCCAGTGTCTTGTGTGATAAGAATATGCAACTAAAACTCAAAGGTAAGTTCTACAAAGTGGTGGTTAGACCGACTATGTTATATGAGGCAGAGTGTTAGCCAGTCAAAAACTCTCATGTCCAGAAGATGAAAGTAGCTGAAATGAGGATGTTGAGATGGATGTGTGGACATACCAGGTTAGAGAGGACTAGGAATGAACTTATTGGGATAAGGTGGGAGTGGCTCCCGTGGAAGATAAGATGCGAGAGGCGAGGCTGAGATGATTCGGACATGTGAAGGGGAGAAGTACAGATACCCAGCTAGGAGGTGTGAGAAGTTGGCCTTGGTGAGCATGAGGAGGGGACAAGGGTAGAGGTAGGCCAAAGAAGTATTGGGAAGAACATGACATAGTTGGAGCTTACCGAGGACATGACGCTTGATAGGAGGGTGTGGAGGTCGAGAATTAGAATGGAAGGTTAGTAGGTAGTTGGGTGTTTTTGTTTTCTTTAGTATTAGTATGGTATCTTTTTATTCTTGGGTGAAAATCATTTACATCCCCAAGTTTGCTTTAAGAATCAAACTCATCCTCCAACTTTAAACAATTATCATTCTGCTCCTCATATGAAAGGTGACTTCTTAAAGTACCTATTTTACCCTCTAAAATATTTATCTCTTATTTTTATTCTTTAATATAATGAATTTTTTTTAATTTCAATTTATGTTATCGACTTACCTATAGACAAATTAAAGAAACTTTTTCGAAAGCAAAAAACGTGAGAAGTAGTAGTCAAGCATATAAGTTAACGCCGTTCAGTAGTGACATAATGAGAAAAATAAAAAAACTATAATAAATAATTTACTTGTATCAATAATTTTATTAATAGCAATCAAAACTCAATCTATTTACAAGAAAAAAAAAAGAGTGAAAAATTAGAAATTATACAATGCAAGTAAAAGAAAAATGATGGGCGAAAAATAGAGGTAAATCTTATAATAAAATTGCAAAAATTATCTATTACACTTTTCCTAAACTTTAATTATAATTTAGAAAAAATCTACTAATAACAATCAAAACTCGGAACTTTATATACACATGAAGAATAATAAAAATAGTAGAACTTAAATCACACACACAGTGACATACATTATATGCATTTTAATATACATAATATTAAAATAATTATAATAATAATAATAAAGCAGCAATACATCTTATAATAAATTTATAATATGATTATTTTATTTATAATGTTATTGAACTTGGATTAAATTATATAATAAGATATAGCATTATTTAAATTATGAATAAATACCTGCATTAAAAGATATCTAGATAATATAAAAAAGGTATTACGTATATGGGGAGTTGAAAATGTCAAAGGGTACAATAGACATTGCGTAGGATAAAAGGAAGAAAATGACAATTGTTTAAAGTTGGAGGGTGAGTTTGATTTCTAGAGTAAACTTGGGGGATGTAAATGATTTTCACCCTTTTATTCTTAGATTGCTATTACTACCTACTGTTTGATTTATCTTTCGCTCCGATTTTCTTAATATCTAGTTGTTATTACTACTTGTTGCCACTACTTCTTTTTATCTTGTCTTTAGCCGAGAGTCTATCGAAAATAACTTCTCTGCCCTCCCAGGGTAGAGGTAAGAACTGCGTACAGACTATCCTCCCTAGACCCTACTTGTGGGTATTCACTGGGCTTTTTTTTTTTTTTTGTCTATAACTGCTTGATATACTTTTCAACAGCAAACGCAGTTATGAGCAGATCAAAGAGAAAATTCACTTTTGAAGATATTCTCAGTCCACTGTATCCCAATATCTTGTCCTTGATGCCCTGAATTCTATTCCCTTTTAGCTGGAGATAAATTTACTCCCCAGCAAACAGCAGTATGGAAGAAGTTTTATCATCATGGAGATCTTAGACATATCTCAGCACCATCAGCTGTAAATAGGACCTTTCATCATGATTGTTGCTGTAAATGTTGATGAGCTTCTTCAGATATAAGCATTTAGCCATGACTATTAAAATTGACCATTGTCCCTCATCTTTCTTTTATCTCTTTCTAGGATTACCACCTGAATATTTGACCTCAAAAACTCGGCCTTTTCATAACAGAAATCCTTAATGGAAATAAAAGTCAACTCTTAAAACCTATATAGATGCTTTCCTAAAACTAACAAAAAGTCAAGGAGAAAATAGTCATCCGCCCAATAGACGTGAATCTACTCGATTTCTATTCTGCAGTAAAAGTTACACATCACCATATGAAAAGGGATTACAACTGGAAGGCATTAATCTCGAGTCCAAAGACAAACAATCCTACCCCGGATAATTACTCTATGCTGTGAAAATGAGATATAAAGAAAAGCCAAATGTCCAACAAGAGGGTTGGATACAAAGAACTCAATTCATTTTCAAAGACTCTCTATTTGATATATGTCCTAATACAACCAGGCAAGCTCTTGTTCATCACCATGCAGCAGAGTACACATCAATAAATTAAAGAAAGATAGCTTATTAAAGAAATAATAATAAGAACTCATCCCAGTGGTTATGTATACCTTTAACGAGCTCGTGACCATAGATCGAGGGACAAATAGATTGAAGTACTTGTCGGAAGACATCAGAACCATATTCTTCAGAAAATTTAACAATAAACTCCAAATCCTTTGAAGTGAATGAGAATAAATCAAAAAGCTCTGTAGATCTAGCATTAGAATTATCTTGTGAACCCTCGAGTGTTGATTGAGACTTCGAGTTTGTAATAGAAACTACTTCTAGATACAAATAATGAAGTCCTTGATTCTTGCTTTTTGACTTTCCTGCATTTACCAAGGTTCGCTTACAGGTAACATCTGACATAGGTTAACTGAAAATGAAGTACATAGCAGCAAATCAAAAGCATATTTTTGATCCAGTTATCAACAGCATCTACAATATTATTCAATGTGATTGTCCCATATTTCTTTCCAGTGCAGTAGGAAGATTGGTAAAATGAGTTTGTCTGTCCCAGATATCAGTTATTTCAGGCAAAGGCAAAATATCTGTGATTTTTGACTCAATGTAGGGTGCGAAAACATAACTAATTCGAATTTCAATTTATTGTAAGGCACTCTATCAATATATCATTTTGAATCCATTGTGTTATGTGCAAAGAAATTTACAGAGAACTCATAAGTTACTTGACCTAAGTAATATGCATTTTGAATGACAAGTATATTAAGACATTAAACCTTCTTTTCCTAAATAAACTCATTTCACAAAGAGGATATCTGGCGATTTTGGTCACTGGATTGGTATTTTCCTTAAAAGCATAGATGTCATCCACCCAAGACTTTGACCAAACATGGAGGAACAAAAGCAGCGTTCGTACTGTAATGCATTATTAGAAATTTCAAAGTGCATTACCATTTGTACTTTGTGCAGACAGCAGCAGTACTTAATAACATAGGTTCAGAATAAAAGATGGTAACATATAGGAAAGTACTGCCCTTTGGATTTAACCGAAGTCGTTCAGATTTTTTCAAAGAGTCTTTAAAGCAATACTAACAATAAGCTCCAAGATTCATTAAAACTGATGATATTACTAGCAGTGGCAGAGGCAAGGATTAACCCTAAGGGGTTTCAAAAAAGAAAAAAAGTTAAGAAGATTGTAGCTCGTGGGAATAGAACCGATGACATTACAAAAATTTTGAACCCCCTTGACCACTAAGCTATGCTTTTAAGTTATATCATGGGGATTCAAAACATAAAACTATATATAGGTAAAAAAAACAGATTATGCCTTATATACGGTGTAGTTTTTCGGCGAAGGGGTTTCGGGTGAACACCCTTCCGCCCCCCTAAACCCGCCCCTGATTACTAGTCTGCATCAGATTTAAGCCTTTCCCCGGACCCCACGCATAGCAGGAGCTTAGTGCACCGGGCTGCCCTTTCATCACATTTAAGCCTATAATTGAATCTGATTCCTATTACCTATCAGTCAGGTGCATGAGTTTGAAGCTTGTGACTCAAAACATATTTTTACATGAAATTAAAAGACTCATGCGTTAAAACAAGGTCAGAACACTGGATCAACTTTTCTAAAAAATTTCGCCATTATATCCTTAATTCAGAAGGGGAATATGTTACAATCCAATCAAAGAATGCTATTGTTGATAATCACGTATATCATCTAACGCAATGGAGAAAATCAGACGTAACACGGTTTTTGCAACACTAAAATAGAAAAAAACTACATTTAAAATATGAGTAAAGCTTCATGCAGGTGATTGAATGAAGTCTTCTTTCATTTCTCAGGAGCAATATTACAGTATATGCACTCTATATGTGTGTGTGTGTGTGTGTGTGTGTGTGTGTGTGTGTGTGTATATATTATATGGAATGGAAGGAAATTAGTAGAAAATTTTGCTCATAAGATGCAGCAACCTAACTGTGAAACTTTTGTTGGGGAAAAACATTTAGAATTTTTGTTGAAAGGCATAAAGAGACTCACAAGAGGCATTAATTTGCTTTATAGGTGAAGGAAGTACATTTTTACAATTCAAACAGATCTATGATGTGTCCTCTATAAAATCCTTTACCTCCTCCAATATCCATGTAGTTGTTAATAACCCTAATTATGCCAGTGACAGTCACAATATCTCCAGGGATGCATGCATCCACAAGATCTTCAGTTAGTTCACATTCAACAGTTCGAGGTACCCGCCCCTCTTCATGATTTTCAGATTTCAGCAGCTCCTGAATTCTAGGAGAAACGGATAATTGTAAGATAAGAAATGAACATGAAATTAGCAAGGTGAGACGATGAATAAAAAGAATAACATAAAAGAATTTTCTGTTAAATCTTTAACTCAAATGGTATGATTTATAAAGATGTTTAAGTGCAGACAGCAAAGAAGAGGAGTTTACCTTATTTTCTGAAAGTCTATAACTCGAGCTGTAGACCTTATGGGATTAAAAGTCCTGCATTTGCAACCATGCAATTTACATGTTGGTGGAGGTGAAAATTTTCCATCTGGAAAGTCACGAGTAATACTGGTTCCGCATTTAGTACAGGCAAAATCCATTTGCATCACCAGAGGCTTGACTGTGCTGACTTTTACCACTGTACCACGTACAGAGACAAGCCTATCTGTCAATTGAAAGCATCACACTCAATTATTTAGAATCTAAGCAGCATTAAATCAGTGTTATCAAAGGCGTAAACCGCAAAAAAGCTCTAGCGTCTACTGGGGCTTTAAGCGCAAATAAAGCGTAGGCTTTAATTTAAAAAAAGGTGCAAATGAAGAAAAACTACAAATGTGTAGTGTAGTCCAAGACTAATATCTATAAGCATGAATACCAAATGTACGCACAAAGAAATTGAAGAAAGTATATTATAAAGTAAAATATCAATTATGTAGTGTCGCCTCTTCAGGATTACGCTCATTGGAAAGGAAAAGTATGCCTTAGAGCAGTGTTATCAAAAGCGAAAAGTGCAAAAAAGCTCTAAGGTCCGTTGGGGCTTTAAGCGCAAAGCGCAAATAAAGCGTGGGCTTTAATGAAAAAATGCGCAACTGGAGAAAAAGTAAAGATATGTATATGTAGTCTAAGACCAACAATTATAAGCATGAATAACAAATTTATGGACAAAGAAATTGAAAAAAAAATTACGAAAAGTGAAATATGTGCAAAAAATCTCTAAGGTCCGTTGGGGCTTTAAGCGCAAAGCGCAAATAAAGCGTGGGCTTTAATGAAAAAAGGCGCATCTGGAGAAACAGTAAAGATATGTATATGTAGTCTAAGACCAACAATTATAAGCATGAATAACAAATTTATGGACAAAGAAATTGAAAAAAAAATACGAAAAGTGAAATATCAATTGCTTAGTGTCGCCTTTTCAGGATTACACTCATTGGCAAGGAAAAGCATGCCTTAGAGCCTTGAGTCGACACCGAAGCGCCCACAAAGCGAGGCGAAGCGTTCAACATGTTTTGAGCCTTGTTTCAGGGCTTAAGCGTGACAACACTGCCTTAGAGCCTTGATGACAGCACTGAAGTGCCCCCGTAAGCGACGCGAAGCGCTCAACATGTTTTGAGCCTCGCTTTAGGGCTTAAGTATGCTTTAAGCGCGCCTTTGATAACGCTGCATTCAACTACTTCATATCTAAAGAGTAAATGTAAAGTTGAATATCATCTTTTACCAATATAAGCAGCTTTTAGGTTCTTCAATGCAATCACTGATTCAGGGTAGTTGTGGAGACGGATATTTATCTTCACAAAATCATCAAAATTTTCATCTCCCAATTTCTCAAAGAAAACCTGCTAGCATCAGCAACACACTGATACAACTAAGATAAAACGATATAAATATGTGAATAAATTGAATTTCATAAATATAAATCTACTACCTTGTGTAATGAAGCACTCATACACAACAGAGCATCTTTAGGTTTACTCTCTAAAATTGCACAAAATTCCTGTAGTTCAGAAAGTTTACGGAACTGGAGAAAGTCCAGTGGCAATGAGAACGTGCCATCAACCTCCTTCACCTAGAAATAACAATCCAATGTCAGTCCTTAACCTTTATCTTAAAATTCTAATTATCATAATTATCCAGCAATTGAAAATAACTTGGCCAATAAAATCAAAATCTTACATGATAAACTCAGTAAATCAGCCATTTCCTTTACTATTAGTACCAAGCTATGCCATAAATTGACAGACACAGACTCGAGTGGACAAAGTTTTTCATTCAACTACAGCAATTGAAAATTACTTAGAAGTAATGTTACATAAGAAAATCAGTAATTTTTCTTTTACTAATAGTATCAATCTCGCCTTCATTCAAAGTCACAGATACAGACCCCGATCAGCAAGTTCATCTTCGAAAGCATAAAATACACTAACAGTTTAGCGGAGTCAAAACCCTAGGGAAATAAGCAAATACACTCGGAATTTTGAGTACGACAACAATTGAAAATTACTCGAGTGGACAAAGATTTCATTCAAACAACAATTGAAAATTACTTAGAAGTATGTTACATTAGAAAATCAGTAAATCAGTAATTTTCTTTCACTAACAATATCAGTTTCGCCTTCATTCACAGAACAGATAGTCAGATACAGACTCCAATCATCAAGTTTATCGTTGGAAAACATTAAATACATAAAACCCTTTAGCCTAAAAAATCCTAGGAATCAGCAAATACTCGGAATTTGGAGTACAACGGTCAAATCATATAAATTTCAATGTACATACAGATAGCCTTTCTCAATTTGTACTACACATTACAATTTTGTTTAAAATCAAGCTAACCTGAGAAACGAAGTGTTCGCCGGAAGGAGAAGAGAAGAAGCGAGCAAGCTGAGAGGAGAGGCGGACTTTGAACTTGGAGTCATCGAGAGAGAAATCGATGTTAGGGAAATAGAGAGACAATATTTTAGAGAAACCGCTAAAACCCGTAAATCTCTGTTGAATCTTCCCGTTCTTCATCATCTCTCCGCTCATGGCGAAATGGCGATTGCGACTGCGATTGGTCCAACGCTCTCCGCGAGGAAAAAAACACGCTGTTTTGGCGGGAAATAACACTCCAGAGTATAATCGTACTATATTAACAATGGACTTTTATGCCCTTAAAAGCTATAGTATTAATGACCATATAATATTAATAAACTTTTATGCCCTTAAGGTTATATTAATAATACTTTCAATATTTATAAAATATGTAAGCTAAAAAAAGTTAGCTTTGTAACATTAAATTTGATTTGAAATTGTCAAATAATTTATTAAGGTACATCTATCTAAATTACTTTTATGCCCTTAAGGTTATATTAATAATACTTTCAATATTTATAAAATATGTAAGCTACAAAAGTTAGCTTTGTAACATTAAATTTGATTTGAAATTGTCAAATAATTTATTAAGGTACATCTATCTAAATTTTTCACTTTATAAAGTTAAGTTTTTTAACTTTCCATGCATATAATAAATTTTTTGAGCTAACATTTACCATTCTTATATTATCTTCTCCTTCTATTTTTTTATTTTACCATTCATGTACAAAATGATATAATATTTTTAATTTTGTACTAAGTATATGGGATACACGCGTAATGCGTGTGCTCATGGATTAGTATGATATAACTAGTAATATGTACGAGTGCATAAACATCGTGAGAAAATATCATAATTTATATAAAAAACTAAAAGTTGCGTTGAATTTTGTAGTACGAAAAGTTATGTTGGATAGTTTGAAACAAATGCTTCAAAAATATATTGTTAATTGACCCACCCACTTTGACAAACTTGAAGATTACTAAATTTGTGTATAATAAAAGAATCATTTTGAACTTTTGATTTTGTAAAAAATTGTTATATATAGACAATTTGTTTTATAGAACTAAGAGGGCGTTTTGGTGGGGTTAAAAACCGATCAAACTAATTTTAAGCACTTTTTAATTTATTTTAGTTTTTTGTTAACTTATATTAAAGTGGTTAGTCTTGAACTTTTATCTCTGCTTGAGCAAAATATTTAGTTTTAATAAATGTTAACTTATATTAAAGTTTTGTCCATGTCACAAGTGAGGGTCATAAATTAAAGATCATATCCCAAAGAGTATCATATTTGTGCAATTTTTGCTTTTAAGCCAAGCTAAAAGTCAGGCCACTCCAGCATATGACTTTTTGGCAACGGCAAAGGTTCACATGAATCCAAATAGAGGTGAGATATATTTTAATGGGATTTTTTCCTTCCTATATAATATTGAAATTTATTTATTAAAACTGTTCTAATTTTATATATTACCCGCTTTAAATAAGGATTACATATAAATTATACAATCCATTATTAGTGTCTTAAATTAAGGGATTTAGTTACATCTTTTTTCTTATTTTTTCTCCATTCCTCTTTTAATAAGACTCCTTCCACTTGTGTATTACCTATATTAAGCCATAACAAACAGAATTTCAGCAAAAAATGAGAAAGATACGCTACAATATGACAACAACTTTGAACGCAATTGTCTCCAAAATTTATCCCTGTTTCCATCTCTACGATTGCTCTACTCTGCTTTTACTGAATAAATTCTTAACAACATTGTCAAACTACAGCACCAATCGCAGTTGAATCAAAAAGCATAATTGAGCAGACTCGAAGTTTTAGCAGATTTCAAATTAAATTCAATCACCTCCAAACTTCGGATTCAACTTTGTATTAGTATTTCCAACAAGAATCTATGCTACTCATTTAATTTCTCACGCAAAATTTAAATCTCACATAAAACTCAGTTTATTCGAAGCGCGACAATGGCGCTTTTAATGTGAAACACAGAATTTCTCCACCCAAATCATTCAGTTCCCATCAATATTCAAGTTTTTCTGTTCAAACAAATATGAATCAGTGCACATGAGTTGATTTGGAATTCATTCTCTACTTTTCTTTCCTTAATAAATCAATTGAAAAGAGAACAATGTATGGTACATCAACATACAAATTAAAAATAAATTTTGTACAAATTTAATGCAAATTTGGGTATCTACAACAACATACATAGTAAAAATAAATTTCATACAACTAATTATATAGTATACAACTTATCTATAACTTTCATATATTATTTTTACCCAGTTAAAACAATTACAACATCATACAACTTAAATATAATTTTCATACGAATTTTATACAATATATTTTTTGTATGTATTTTGTATATGATTTGTATATATTTTGTAAGTGGTGTGTTCTTCTTCCTCTCTGAAATTACAGTCAAAACTTTCTCTCTTAAAATAATTTTGATACATATCAACAACTTTATGTAAAAAGATAGTATTTATAACTTAAATACAAATTTTATACAACGATTCATACATTATACGACTATTTTTCAACTTCCATATAACATTAAAATAAAAATATACATATATAATTACAATAAAATACAACTTAAATACAATTTACATGCAACTTTAATACAATTTTGTAAGTATATGTAACGACCCGATCGGTTGTTTTGAGTATTTAAGTCCTGATCCCCTATTTATTGCATCGTTTATGTTATATTGTGATTATGTGACTTTCCGGGGTGTTTGCTTTTGGTTTCGGGTGAGTTTTGGAGTGAAATAGGACACATAGTCCCGAAGTTGGAGTCTTAAATTGATAGAGTTAACCGTAATTTGACTTTTATGTAGACGACTCCGGAATGGATTTTTGATGGTTTCGACAGCTCTGTATAGTGATTTTGGACTTAGGAGCGTGTCCAGATGTCGATTTGGAGGTCCGTAGGCCGTTTCGGCGTGAATTGGGGAAAGTTGAAAATTGAAGGTTTGAAAGATTGGAAAGTTTGAGCGGGAGTTGACTTTATTGATATCGGGGTCGGATTCCGGTTCCAAAAGTTGGAAGAGGCCATCCATGTCATTTATGACTTGAGTGTAAAATTTAAAGTCGATCGGAGTTGTTTTGGTTTGAAACGACATTAATTATGCAATTCGGAAGTTCATAAGTTCCTTAGGATTGAATTGACGCGCGATTCATGGTTATAGTATTATTTGATGTGATTTGACGCTTAGAGCGTGTTCGTATAATATTTTAGGAATTGTTGGTATGTTTGGTTGAGGTCCCGGGGGTATCGGGTGTAATTCGGATCATGTTCGGCGCATTTCGAAACCTTGAAGCTGCAGATTTTATGTGTCTGGTGTCCTTATACGCATTCGCGAGAGAGGTCTCGCGTTCGCAAAGAGTACCCGGGAGGCAGGTGAAGTTTGTTCTCCGCGTTCACAAATAAGGCCACGCGTTCGTGAAGGTTCAATGTGTTTGTGTGTCGCGATCGCGGGTAAGGGAATGCATTCGCAAATGAGAGAGGCAGGTTGGGGACTGATTAGGTCGCAGCGGACTCAACCTTTGGAAGAGTGGGCGCTAATACTTTTACCCAATAGTGGTATCGGGGTCAATTTCCACAGGGAGCTAGGAAGGGAGTTGGATATTTGTTTAGCCTAGAAATGCGAGTTTGCTTCTAATTGATCTTCTATCATTTTTGGGTTTTTGTGATTATCAACTACAATTTAACAACTACTAATTATAACTAAATTATGCTAAGATATTAAGTCTAGGTTGTATGCAAGATAGAGAAAGGCACTAGGGTCGTGGCATTTACCTAGGTGGTCAACTAACGGGTAGAGATTCCTAATACGAGAATGATGATTATGGGGCTTATGATATAACCGTTGCACGATTGCACTCACTCTCACACCTCTCGGTAGAAAGAGTGATTTTGCCCAATTGACTCTCTCGAGACCAATTGGGTAGGCTAACAAGCCAAGCAACTTAGGGTTCAAGTTGGGTAATTACTCTCTCGAGGTCTTACCCGTTAATTGGGACTACCATTCTCATGGGTCCATCCCAATTCGTTGTTGGGTTAATTTTGGAGTCATAGACACTCTTTCTCAAGAAGAGTCAAGACCCACTAAGCTAGACTTAGTGTTTGCAACCACCAAATCCAAGTGAAAACATAAAATTAACCCCAAATATCAAACACCCAACATCATTCAAGCATTAAACAATCACACCCATTAATTACCCACACTAGGGTTGAGCCATAACCCTAGCTAATGGGTTAAGCTAGCCATAATAACAACAGAAATTGAAGAAGAAATAGATAAAATAAACATATTAATTAACTAGAATGTTAATCTACAATAATCCACGTTAAAACAAGATGAAAATGCCCAAAATAGGCTAAAACTTTTGTCTCACGAGTGCAGCAGCTCTCTGGTATCTAATTCGTACCCTAAAAATGGCAAATATTCTATTTATACTAAGTTAAGAAAAACCGGACAAAAATACTCATGCGGGGTCCGTGCGGTCCGCACGAAGTTGACACGCGGCCGCACTGGGTTGCTTGACTTCTGAGACTTGCCTTCTGAAGATGTTGACGCGGACCGCACAATGATGGAGTGCGGCCGCATGATGACTGGCGCGGACCGCGTGAACTTGTAGTGCGGCCGCATGAGTGGCTTGTGATGGTCTCTGAACTTTTGTGGTGCGGACCGCGTGAGCTTATAGTGCGGCCGTGCCGCTTGCAATTGAGAATGCCAACTCTCTGAACTCCTATGGTGCGGCCGCATGACATGATGGTGCGGTCCGCACCAAGTTCTGAATATCCTTGCTTTCATGATCTTTGACACTTGAGCAGGTTTCACTCCGTTTCGAGCCGATTTTTGACTTTTGTCATCTTGTTGCTCAAACCTGCAATCAAGCGCAACTTATAAGCATTCTGGGTTTATTTTATGGCAAATCATACATAAAGCATAGGCAAGTATGGGCATAAAACGTGTTAAAATCACAGTTATCAACTCCCCCAAACTTAAACCTTTACTTGTCCTCAAGCAAGTAAAACAAGACCCACCCCTCAAAGGGAAACATCCAAGTAATTCCAGCTTATCCTAAGGAAGCCTCATCACGCATCAATTGGGACTAACAATTGCCCTCAATACGAATGCATCATTAACACATTTTTTATCTTTTAAGAACTATGGATCGAATGTGACACGAGAGCATCAAGGGTTGACTCATTTCATCAAGGCAT